CGGGGGGGGGGGGGGAAATTTGGAATGGCAACGGTGAACTTCCTCTTGAAGTTGTGTTGATGAAATCCGAGGTAACACGAGGTGTTCTAAATATCACCACTTGAGATTTTTTTGGCGTAGTAATGCGAGTTAACTTGGGAAGTTAAAACCCGTTTAGTATACGAAAATTTTGCGTACCTAACGTAATTTCCAAGGAATTAGAATTAATTTAAATCGATTTGTTGTAAGATTTAGGTGTTTACTTACAAGTAACAGACAACATTAACAATAATTTCAAGTATATATTAAATCTTGTCCGTCTAATCACAATAAATTCTTATTAAATATTAAAATATTACAATAATTAACATTTAAAATATTTAAAATATTAAATGATGTTCTTTATCGAAATATTTGATTTACATTAGACCATCATTTTTCATGTTTCACGCCATGTTTCAGTTCCTAAAAGAACCATCCTCAGGTGTATATAATTATATAAAGCTTCAAAACGATATATAATTCAAATACAATTTTCATACATTATGCCAGCGTACATTTTTATCAGATTTTTACCAGATATTAAACGATGTTCTTTTTCAGATTTTTATTCCATTTTTAATAACACACTCGATGTTGTTCTGTATATCATCTTAGGAATTTCAATCTAAACACATTCTGGAAAGCAAAATACATTAGGAAACGTGATTACAAACCGAATCACGATGTCTGCGTTATGACCATCACCAATCATCATCTTTTATTTATTGCACAATTCCACTTCTGTTTTGCGTTGGGTTTAGTTCAGTTGCTGTGAAATGCTGGATTTGAAGCTGGCTTGCATTCTCGTGGTTGCGGGAGCAGTGACTCGTACCTCGAGGCGGTGGGGTTCTTGCTTTCCTCTGTCGATGCCTGTACTATGAGTCACCGGAAATGCTCAACTACACGCTCTCCTTCGTCAATTCGAGCTGGGGGGCTACGGGAACGTGGGTTAAATGAAAATATTGGTTAAAATGAGATAATTGTATCGTAGTACTTGTAGTAGCAACAGCAGTACTCCATTTTCTAGAGTCGTGTTAGTGTGAGTGACGATGGTTATGTTGGAATCACTTTTTACTCGAAATTCGGTACCCCCCCTCCCCCGAAATTCCTACAGAAAAAAAAAATCTCTTGGCTACATGCGTACGGAAGGCAACTGCATGTTTGCGTACAAGCGAATTCTGTACCGTCAAAAGAAATCTCCAACACGTATAAATTTTAAAGAGCTGTGAGACAAAATTGAGAAGTTTTTGCATTTCTACGTCTTTGTGGTTTTAGTCTCAAATTTATGAATCCATCAAAATATCCTGATACCGTCTTTCTAGTGCTGACAGCTCAGCTGTTCAAGGTTCATAACTGTGTTTAAGAGCCTGCGATTGGATCTGAGACGGTTAAGTAAAATACACATTGAAACCTTTTTTAATATTATCCTCCTTTGTATGTCAGTAATAATCTCTTCTCCCCTCCGAGTGTTCCGAATAAAATTTGTATGCATTTCATATCTCGTCTTGCCTCGAATCTGTTAATATTGAGCATTCTGTATTGTTTCCGTTGTCGCTCTAAAGTGTCGAGTGTTGCAAAGCCACGTAATCTGCTATTCGTGACAACTAAGAGGATAGTGTAACCACAGTATCCGTCACCAGATTTCATTTTTCAAGGCCACGGAAGGACTTTGCACGCGCAGAGAGAGACACGCACCTTACCACGTGGCGCTTAAAGTTGTCATCTCAGCGTTGCTGGTTTCGCTACGCTGCGAATTCTGAGCTGTAATCACTAGCAGGGGCGCGGCTGTTCGATTTTGCTGGCAGTCGGTAATAGAGAAATCTTTTCTCCCTGCCCGAAGCTGAGTCGAATTTGTTGAAGATTGAATGAATGGAAAACGTCACACTCAGATTTTCTCCTTCAGCCGTGTTTAAAAAAAAAATCACGTGACCGTAATACAGCATGTTCCAAGATAAGCGAGCTGTTTGTGTCCTCTCACCAACGCCTCGTTTTTAAGGAGAGCGTGAATATGGCGTTTCGTTCAGGTCATGCCACTGGACACCGCACCATCTCTGTATTTATGAAGTGCTTACCACGAATCGCACCAGATGGCAGCCGTGCGAACTTGTGACGTAGGCCAGATAAAACGTCTGTCATGGTAAAAGATCTTCGAAAAAGCTGTCCTTGTTTCTTTCTAGAACGTAAAACTGCATGAAGGCCGCTGCAGATCTATTGTTCCGACCAACTTACTGTGAAATCGTCTTTTTGTGTTACGATTACAAACATTGCGACGGCGAAATTGTGATCTTGTATGTATGGTACTTGTTTTCCGAATCTCTGTTAGTGGAAATTGACGAGTAAGCTATAAAATTATACGAGTTTTCGTAGTTCTCGGTGTGTGATTCAGGGACTTTTTTTCCAGCAGATTTATCTTTTCGGAAATTCGCCTGACCTTGTAGTCTGCTTACTTCATAACCTGAATTTATGTTTGAAACACGAAATATTTGCTATATTCATAATGGGAATTTTCAAACTCTTCGGTGATAGGGCATCTGGCTGTACTCGAGAAGCCCCCAGTTCTAATGTGTACTGGAGCATGCCGAAAGCAGACGGCTAAGTCCCTATAGAATCTTTCCGATGAGGAATTTCTTCGTCTGTCAAGTAATTCTCTTAAATGTACAAACCTTTAGGAGATATCGTCTTACATTCCGCATTGTCGAGGCAGGCCTACAGGAGTTTGAGATTCGGCTGTACCCACTTCTACAAAGTGATTGGTTGTGACATAAAGTTTTATTTTACAAAATGTTTGTGTCTGGAATCGAACCGACACGATCTGAATGCTATGTTGGTATAATAATACTCTATTACGTGAAGGTGTTTGTGCAAGGAACTCGTGTAACATAGCTTGTTTCCTCAAACAGCTTAGAATTCCTGTATGGTTGGTGTAACAAGTGTAATAAGTAAAGATCTTCCTGAAGATTTCTGTCTTCTGGGTTGTTGCGCCGTGTAGTCTGGTAGAAGTTCACGGCTCAACAACCTAGAAGACAGAAATCTTCAGACTCACTGCTGTGAAAACCTCAAATCCTACAAAGATCTTCCTTCTGGAGGAGTTCCGATTGGTCCTGATAGAGTGAATTGAAGCCATTCTGATCTCTTGTTTACTAACCACAGCCAACATAAAATATTTAATGCAACGCTACTTACCAGTACTTTGCTGTGGACTGGTTAGCAACCATTTTCATTTTGAGATTTCTGGTTCTATTCTCGGCTCTGAGGCCGGCTGTAATGACTCTTCTGTGCCTTTTCCCAGTCCCCCCACGTAAACATTTGGACAATGCGTTAAAATACGTCATGACCGCCTCAGTATACATGCTGCAATCAGCCATATTGTTTCTAACGTCTGCACCAAAATGAAAATGTTTCCGGTATGTTGAGTTTAATTGTGTAAGTTTGTGAGAAAGAGTCCATCTAAGGGGACTGAAATTTTTATGTGTTTGTAGGATGTTTGTTTTAATAGTTTATTCAAGTAGCGAATCAAACTGAACTCCTTCGCTGATATATTTGTGCTTTGCCACAGGAATAGCGTTCGGCACTTAAGAATTGTTAGCTGTGGAAAGAACTTCGACTTTATTTTATCCTGGATTACATGCATTGTCTGCACCCCTAGCATCTTCAGTCCCTTAAGCTGTTTGATAGAGCATTCTTTCCAAATTGTGTAGCCGTTCTCATTGATAGCAGCGCTTTATATCCTTTGTTACTCTAATTTGTACTTTCTTCGTGGTTTACATGTTTTCACGTGGTCCTGTGCAGGTCTTGAGAACCACGACTCTGGAGTCGGTATCTACGCACCAGATGCAGAGGCTTATTCTGTGTTCGCCGATCTGTTTGATCCCATCATTGAGGACTACCATGGTGGCTTCAAGAAGACTGACAAACATCCACCCAAGGACTGGGGTGATGTGGACACTCTAGGAAACTTGGACCCTGCTGTAAGTGCAATTGTCATATTCAGAATAATTTCAACTTTTCTACCACACCGGTTCAGTCACTGTCTGACTGATTGATGAGTAAATTATTACAATGGAGAAGTAGCCTTGGGTATTCTTTCCATGATTTGGTTTATAATGATTTAAGATGACGAAATAAGAATAAAACGCAGCAGAAAAAGTCTGTTGAGGTTTTATTGTAAACTTGGTACATCCAAGAACATGTTTCCATACAAAACTCTGTAAGATACAAAAGTAAATTCCTTCTTTTGTTTATATTTTTCCATAATAACTAAAAGTTTACACGATTGTCAATTGTTTTAATATCTAAAGTCATGAGAGGGGAGATTCTTGAGTGCAGAAGAATTGTTTCTAAATCTGGCATCTGTTGTTAGCGTTTAAAATAGTTTCATTAAACATTTTCTTACCTTCTGACACCTTTGTAATCTTCTGAAATCACCAAATGCCTTTTTCTTGAGATAATGCTTTTATGTTAAGGGTCATTCATAACCTAAAATTGTGTAATGGAACCCCTCAGCTTTGTCATATCTGCATGTAACTACTCGAGAACTGCTGAATGTATTTTTATGAAATTTAGTACAGAGAACTTCAACCAAAATATGATCACGCATTTAATTTCTTGTAATTATTGGACAAAAGTGACACTTTGTCTAAAGAACTTTAAATTTTATGGAACCTCAAGGTTTATTCCTGTGTTCACAACAGCCCACCGCTGGTATCTGTCTAGATGAACGTGTTCCTCCCATTTATTCCTGAGTCTGTTAAGTAGTCTTTTTCCTTCAGGTTTTCCAACCGACTTCCTATATTTCTCGTCTCTCCCACACGCTGCATCCATCTCATGTGCTTTGATTTGATCTTCCTGTCATAATATGTCTAAAAGATTACATCGATGTTAAATAAACATGAAATTGTGTGTGGGGGGGGGGGGTGGGGAAAAAAAAATAAGAAGGGATAATAATAGTTGTCGACATTTACAATAAAAAGCCATTGCACAAGGAAAGAAGCTTGATTTTAGACCAAAGTCACAGCCCACAGTTTAGGAACTGGGGTTAATTTAGAGGCTTGCTATCGACGCTCGCAGGGTGAATACATCATCTCGACAAGAGTACGGTGTGGCCGCTCGCTGCAGGGCTATCCTTTCAATCCTTGCCTGACTGAAGCCCAGTACAAGGAGATGGAGGACAAGGTCTCCAGTACGCTGTCTGGTCTGGAGGGTGAGCTGAAGGGTCAGTTCTACCCCCTCACTGGTATGACGAAGGAAGTTCAGCAGAAGTTGATCGACGACCATTTCCTGTTTAAGGAGGGTGACCGCTTCCTACAGGTGGGTAGGAACCTGGAAATCCATCACAGCAAATTGACGGTCTCTCTCCAGAAATCTGATAACGAAAGTCTACAAAAGATTTGCGAAATATACATTTCTGTTATCTTCTTTAAAACTATACGACGTGGGTTATAATTTTTTATTTAATTGATTAAATGTGTTTTATGTACTTGTTGGTAAATATTATGCTTCAGAAAATAATACTGTAGCCTCTATTGAAACAAAATATTTATTTCATGTATTCTTGTGTTCTTTTCATGAACTGCTTAAAGTAAACGCGTTGTGGGAATTCGGTGTTTGCTTACTCTCATTTACGTATTATCTCTGATAATACTAAACGTATTCCCATAAAATTTTGCATATGGTAGACCCTAATCGTAAGTTAAATTTATGTTTTGTGTCTGTTAGTCCATCGTAACCGCTGCGAGGAACTCGTCAGTTTTCTGTGTGACGTAATTGTATGTAGTTCAATTTTCAGACGCGGCAAGTACGGTAGATTTTGATTGACTGGGCCATCGGTTGATCGGGGCAGCCATTTATTTGTGACAAATCGTAAAGAACAGACCTTTTTAGCTTTTTACGTGGAACTTCGCTTAATTGGGCCAAATTGTTCTAGTCCCGATGTGTCCCAATTAACCGGAATCCGCTGTATTTGACAATTGTAATTATTGTTAAAAATATTATTTTATATACTTTGATATATAATGTATGTTTATTTAGCAAAATTAGTAAGTATTTAGCAATTTCGTGACTGCAGACCTTTTCCGTAGCCTTAGGTCATCCAGCCTCTGAACTGAAATAATTTCTCAATCCTTTCAGTGGCTTTGGTTAAACTGAGGTGGGAGAGGTTTGCATTCATTCTCTTTGAGTGGCCTCTGTGCTTACGTTAATACCGGGGCATCGCTAAAGATCAGAGATATGCATTCTCTGCTCCAGTTAATGCACGGTGGTGACCTCATGTTGCCATCTCATCTGTTTCATCTCTGAAACTATTTAATGGATATGGATGAAATTTGGTATTGGAGGGAAGAGTTGCAGAAAATTTAATTTGGTCAGAATTAATTCAATGTAACGTGTAATTTACATGAAACTCATTTCATTTATTTTATTTAAAATGCACAAAAAGGAAGTAACTATATGACGTGAAACGTCTTGTTTGAGATATTTTTCAGTATGACGAATTAATGGAATTCAAGCAGGAGCAGTGTTCTTGTATTTTCGTTAGATCTGCAGCAATAGATGTTTATATGCGAAGGAAGTATTTCGTTTACGTTGAAATACTAATTTCTAATATATTTTTTATATTTTTATTACTGCGTCGTAGGCTGCCAATGCATGCCGCTTTTGGCCCACTGGACGAGGCATATATCATAATGATGCGAAAACGTTCCTGGTTTGGGCCAACGAGGAAGATCATTTGCGAATCATCTCCATGCAGATGGGCGGTGACTTGGGACAGGTATGATCCGGGACTACTAATATTTTGTTTATAATCTATAATTAAAATACCTTTGCTTCGGATTCATGTTTCAGTTCTGTGGCCTTGTGAGTTGAGAAGCTGTAGATTAATAGGAAGAACAAACCGTGCGTCTCACATCCTGACTTTCATACAGAATGATTCGAAAGTCATGCACCCAGTATTAAAATGTATATTGGTGGTAGTAATTCAGTACAGTTCATTCGGATTAATAAATGTACTTGTTTCTGTGACCATAGAAGAGCCCATTGAGGTTATGTCAAATTTTAACCTCTTTGTGCCAGAAGTTCAAGGACGTCTTTTTCACAAGAGCAAAGAGCGTCTCTTTCTTACTTGACTTGCCAGAATGAGTTTCCCAATTCTTCTGTACCAAATAAATTGACATTATGTCTGGTAAACCAGTTCCATGATACAGGAAGCATGTGGGACACGTCATTTCAGTCAGCCTGAAGTGTGAAGTGACATAATTTGGACGATATCCATCGTAGTTTGTTATGCTCTGCTTGGACGTCACTGAGAGAAATTTCTCTTCTGAGCGGATTATTCCGTGGAAGTGTATATAAGGGATTCTTGTGATGGAGAATGTGAAGATCGAGAGCAACGAAGAAGATGGGAAATTTCTGTTTAAAATATTTGAGAAATTAAAGAGACTGGTGGATGAGGTATAGATATAGAGAACTTAAAATGAAAAAGTACCTTACACACCAGTGGTCGCGCTGACATAAATATTTTGCTTGCTGATTGCATCTTTCCCAAAAAAATTATAATAATTTTTGTCTTGAAGTTCACTATACGATTAGCGGTGTAGTTTTAGTTAGCGTGATTGACTTTTTCGTAATTGCAGGTGTACCGTCGCCTTGTGACAGCCGTGAATGACATTGAGAAGCGCATTCCCTTCTCACACGATGACCGTCTGGGCTTCCTTACCTTCTGCCCCACAAACCTGGGCACCACAGTGCGTGCGTCTGTGCATATCAAGGTACCCAAGCTGGCAGCTGACAAAGCCAAGCTAGAGGAGGTTGCTGGCAAATACAACTTGCAGGTCAGTGCCCCACTCAAGACTTGCGAATGTCGTGTCACACCTAATTTTGGATTGTTACCAGTGTTTTGTTTGATCTTGACTGTCAGCAGTTTTTTTCTTCCAGCCGAGCAACTCTGTAAGTAGGTTCGTCATTCTCTGCCTCTTGTCTGTTTAAGACACATTTCAAAAGCTGAACGCTGTAGTGCATTTAGTTTCTTTCCCCTCCCTGGGTCTGTTGGAGTTCTGCGTACATCAAAATGATGAATGAACACTACCTGATTTTGTATAACCACAAAAAATTTAAAGATCTTGGCTCTGTTGTTAGTTTGTATACCTGGTGGTGGAAATTGAAAGTAAGAACATCGGATCTGCCAAGCACCACAAGATTGCCATGATGCGAGTCGGGCATCACTTCATGAAATAGTAAAATCAAATTGCCAATTATATAAGAGGTGCCTGAATTTTTTTCCCCGCCCGCAGAGAGCGTCAGTCGCTGGCAGTCAGCCTGTGAGTGAGTGAGTGACTGTAGTGAACGCCCGTCGGATTTTCATTTACCACAAAATGAAGGAACGACTTGAGCAGCGGTATTGCATCAAATTTTGCCAAAATCTTGGTGGTACCCAGGTGGAAACCATTCGGAAGATTCAGCAGGCTTTCAGCGACGATGCCATGAGCATCACACGAATTAAGGATTGGTACAACAAAGATGGCCGCATGATGGTGGAGAGCGAACCACGTTCTGGTAGGCCCTCAACAAGCCGAAATGACGAGGTCACCGACCAAGTGCGGACTTTGGTCATGCTGGACTGTCATGTCACCATCCGAGAACTTGCGGACGAGGTCATCCGTCGCCTTCGTGATGCTGTGCGGCGCAAACGGCTGGACCTGTGGGTAGCGGGAACTTGGCAGCTCCATCATGACAACGCACCCGCCCATTCTTCGTATCTGATTCAGGTTTTCTTGGCCAAACACAACATTCCTCTGGTTCGTCAGGCTCCCTACTCTCCCGACTTGGCTCCTTGTGATTCTTGGCTGTTCCCCAAGCTGAAAATGCCGCTGAAAGGGACCCGATTCGCGGTAAATGAAAATCCGACGGGCGTTCACTACAATCACTCGCTCGCAGGCTGACTGACGCTCTCTGCGGGCAGGAAAAAATTCACGCATGCGCATGAAGATCCCCTACACCGCCCACCGGATTACACCTCCCGTGATTCATTTGTTTCCGTGGGAAAAATTAAGGTCCGATACATTTTGAACAGACCTAGCCCCTGTTCCATTTAATATTTCTTCGTAAGCACGCAATGTTTTTTAAGCAAGTTTCTTGTCCAGAAGTGACCCAGTGGACCTGAGTTTCTTTATGAGTTTATGAATGACTTTTGTGGCTGGAACTGTGTTCCTAGTAAATTTATGACAAAATCTTCTCTGGGACATTCCAGCAGAACCACATTTCACATGCGATTTGTACAGAAAAACAAGCTGTTAAAAAAAATAGTATACTGAATCAAATTCACACACATAACCAGTACTTAACTTGATGTTAGACGCGAGCGCACTCTTATGTGATTAAATTTAGTGGCAATTGCTGTGAGTCATGGAGTTCCTGCCAGTAGCTGGGATGTGTCTGTTGTATGTAAGTGCGTCAGAACAGATGCTGTACGAAGGTGGTGTAACCTCTCTAATGTAATGATGTTATCATTTTAAAAGTTATTACGATGGCGAAAAAGGCACAAGGGCATGGCGGTATTGTAAGATTATCTTTATATATCTCTATTTTTATGTCTGTCTTAATTGGTTTTGAAAGCAGCCATTTTACATCGTTTTGAAATGTTAACAGGTCCGTGGCACACGTGGTGAACACACAGAGGCTGAGGGCGGTGTGTACGACATCTCCAACAAGCGGCGTATGGGCCTCACAGAATATGAAGCTGTGAAGGAGATGAACGATGGTATCGCCGAGCTCATCAAACTCGAGAGCTCCCTCTAAATTGTGGACCAAGATGTCACCACCATTACTGTCTAATACACTGTAATATCCATTATAAGGCTGTTTCTCGAGTCAAGGGAAGTGGCCAGAATCAAGAATTTATAACGAAGAAATACCAGTCCGCTACCCATATCCTCTTCTTAACTTAATTACTGTTTCTCCTCTTTCTTAATTTGTCTGTATCTTTGATTCGAAAGAAATCTTTTTACTGTGTATTCAGTTAAAGCCAGTATTTGATTTTTAAGAAATAAAAAATGGATAAGGAAACTTATTTTGTGCGAGAGCCAATTTTGAGTACTGTTACAAAAGCATGACGACATTGTTCATGACGCTAATCAGTATTGTGTAAAGACATTATAATTGTAACGAGCAGCTGCGAATCTGTCGATACGGTAATAATATGTATGTACAGTCTCGACTCTGCTCTTGGGATGGTTTGTCTGTGACGGCGATATTTCTGCGATTTCAAATGACTGAAGGGAATGGATATTATTTCTTGATCTATTATATCTACAGTGTTCTTTTGTTTCAATACTTTCCCTCAGAATAAGTTCGTTTATGCCTTTCGGTGTTGCAGAATCTGATATATTAATTCAAGGATGTGGGCTGCGAGATGTGTTCAGACGTAGATCGCGATAGTTAAAATGAAAACAGAAATTAAAAGATTTCACTCTTGCTTATGTTTTAAACTAGAAGGGGGGGCTAGAAGGTTGCAATGGCTGCAGACATTTGTCTGTTCTAGTCAGAGTGATTCAGTATTTCATGTTTATTATTAAAATAGCGCAACAGCCTGTACGATGAAATGCGTACCAAATAGTTCCTTTTGCCCGGATTGGGATGATTACTCTTCGAGCGGATGCTTACGTCTTTCTGGGCTTTTGCTGTGGCTTGTTCACCCAAACACATCTGCTCCCCTTTACGTTATGTTTCATGCAGTCACGTATACAATACGGAATTTGGGATTTTATGTATTCATTCTAAATATATATTAAAAATAAGTGAATTTGTTCTGGTTTCTTCATGCTTCTAGTCCCTAATTGTGAAAGTTTATTATATGATTTATATTTTTTTTCGTTTAATTAAACTGAAGTCGAGAGTATGCTGAAAGACATTAGACTATCACATGCACAAGAAGAGTACCATTTCCAAAGTATGAAGCAGATATCAATCCAGTGTTTGAATAAATGAGGCAAATAAAATGAATAAAAGAGAAATTAATATGTACTATTTTGTTTCTTTAATCAAGTCCTTATTATGAAAGACTAATCACAAAACTGTAACAAATGTTATATTTTATCAGTTTAAATTGATGTTAATGTCCTCCTCATGATTATTAATTGTGTATAATTACTGTTTTGGGCTTATCCGCAATGTGAGTGCTTTTAATCAAAATCACGTTAAGTTTTATTTCAACATTGAGACTAGCTTTATGAGAGAGATCTGCAGAGTTTGTGTTGTGTTCCACCATTCTCCTGATGACAGCAGTACAAACAACTGTCTAAACATCGTGGTTTTGATTACGAAATACTTACGTGATGGATAAAGTGAAACAATATTTATAGAGGATTTGAGGTTTTCACAGCGGTGAGTCTGAAGATCGCCGTCTTACGGGTTGTTGCGCCGTGTAGTCAGTTGCAGATTTCAAGTATGATCCTTAATATATGCATGCCGTACAGCTGACAGACTTCCCGCATATTGACGGAGCAATTGGAACAACAGAATGAGTAACGGTGTGTCTGCTAATTCAGCAACTTCATGTATGCTCCAGTGTATGTTGGGTAACTAAATGTATGTTCTCACTGATACTCCTCCATTTAGCTGTTGTATTGATGTGACATTTGACGAGTACATTTTGTCCTTTACATGATAATGCAACGTATAACCGAAACTGAAAAATTTCTAAATCTCGGCTTGAATATACTACATTGATGTCTAAAAGGAAGAGGAGGAGGAGGAGGAAGAAGACTACCTGGAACATTAACCTTTAAAAAACCATGCATTTAAATCTCCATTTTCCCTGCTGTCCTAATTTAATCCCGCTGTTACGCTATGCTGTGCACGTGTTCTGATAAAACAATGTAACTTTCTTAAAAACCCATAGACAGCAATGAAATAAATTACACATTATTCAGAAAGTTTACTTTCCCACTTGGAACCTTTCCTCAAGCTGTTACTGTGCAAAAATATTTCTGACTGAAAGGAATATTACACGTTTCCTGTTATCAGTAAATTTCGTATATCTTGAAAATGTCACGAATTTATCGTCGTGTTTGCTGGGAAATGTAAAGTCATCGTGCATATTTCTTTTCTGTCTCTTGACAAAGGACTAGAATTCTTTGTTCCTGCTTCACACAGATGCATGCGTGCACGCATGCACAAACAAGGTTCAACAAATTTTTTCCTCTCTATAATACAGTATACCATTTGAGGGTGTTTTTTTCTCATAGCACAGCCCAACACCATGGGCCTCACCACAATGTTTCATGTACTTTATCTCCAGGTGTGACAACTGGGACGATGTTCGGCTTGGTTTTCCTTGTACATCCATGTTTTCTGCTGCAAGGACGTCATCACATAAAAAGTGTTCCCAGAATTTCAAGTGGGTAATTTTACCCCATATAGCTTCTATATTAGAAAACAGTGTATGGCAACTAAATAAAAGTATTTTTCTTTTGTTCGTTTGGAGTTTGCGACTTATATCGGAGCTTTCGCCCATCCTGTCACTTGTTCAACGTAGCTTCCGGGTGTCAGCGTTTCACTACTAGCGTCACAGCATTCCATGATTTATATAAAAGACTTCCTTCAGCTGCAGATGAATGTGATGTTCTTCCATCTCATGTATTTCCAGCACTTTGCTCTAATATTGCTGTGGTCTCTTAATATCCTGTTTCTTCCTTTTCAGTGCACTGGAACTGAAATTTTGGGGCATTCCTTCTGTTCTGCTTTCATCTTGTAGAGGTCACTGATTAGGCCAGGAGATATAAGTGCCCTAATTATCCATGTACGGCCTGTGACCAGCACCCTTCTTCAAAGCTGCATTGTGGTATGATGTGTAGGTGTCGGATCAGCGTTGATAGCTATATGCTAATTTACTTTGTAAGCTATAGTCGTGTAAACCTCGAAGATTAGCAGAGATTGTAGATTTAAATGTCGAATATCTTGTACGTCTTTTTGGTACGCTGCCCGGAAACAGACGTTCCTTGCAAAGGACAATTACTTTTATCACAGATAGGTGCTCCGTGGGATGATACACTGAGTTCAACAAAAATCAAGTGCTTGAAGTCCCATACTGAAGTGATATATGCTTATAGCTTGCATCATAATAACAGTCGTTCGTACGTAATTCCTCGTATTTTGTAGACGTGCCTTTTCTATACATTGCATTAACTATAATTTTGTCAGACATATGTTAAACAAAGATGCCAATATGTCTGCCTAATTTTAAGAAAAACATTAATTACCTTTCCAATTTCTCCAAAAGCAAAACAGGAGAAAGCTATACTTCGGTTGATTTGCCCATGTTCCATTGACCGGTCAGTACAGCAGACTGTGATGCAACTATCATGTTTGCGAGTCAAATTCTGATGTACATGTTATTGAACAAAAATATGTATTTTGTTTGTAAAGCGCATGCAGTCCAGTAACCACTTGTTAATGAACAAAGTAATTGCCAGTTTTATCATTCATATTATTACAATATAATTTGTGGTGCATGGCAAGGCTTGAAGTTTGAGGAAAGCAGGTGTTTCTTTTAGGTTCTAGCAGGTAACGGGTGGGGAGAATTTTGAAAAAGAAAAAGAAAAGAAATTATGCATGCCAGAGAATAAGTGAAAAGAATTAACATACAAGTGTAGTAAACACTCCAGTTTGCATAAAATTAATTGTGAATTATGTACGACTAGAATTCTAGGTGTAACACAAGTATTTATAATTTATAATTAATGACTGATACCAGTTGATCACTAAACCAAAACATGCTTTATTGTCATTACAGGGTAAGACTATGTATGCCTCTATAGAAGTGAACCCGTAATGAGCTCACTGTCCATCCCCCAGATGATAAATGTGTAAATATGGAGCAGTAGTAGAATGATACTTCTTCTTCTTCTTCTTCTATAGCTCTCCGGTCCGTATTCGGTCCATGACCTCCTCAATTCTCCTCTTCCATTTGGCTTTGATTGAGGTTTCAAAACATCTTCCATTTTACGGTTGTTAGCCTTGCAACCAACCCCCAACCTGGAGGACCAAGGTACCTCTCCCCCTCGACCAATGTGGCTAGGGAGGCCCTACCAGTAGCTATGCTACCGCCACTGAGGTACTCGAGCCCCACCACCACGACAAGGTGCAGGGGAAAACCAAAGGACTTGCAGAAAAACCTGTCCCATTGCCACTGCCCACCACAAATCCCACATTGACTGACTGTGAACCCTGACCCCTGTGGTATGAAGCGAGAGACTACCCACCTGGGCTACAAAATTGACAAAAATTACATAAAACATGTATGATTTGAAACATTCATGGCAAATGAATGCTATAAAATCCTCTTCTCTCGGGTGGTCAGCGGTGTCAATGCAGCTACATTAACAATTTTTTGCTCAGAAAATTCATACCAACTTGTTTACCATATGCGTGGCAGACTTAGGCACAATATTTTCTGTGCTACTATAGACCATTGGGGTCTGCAGTGGCCGCTTGGTCGCTGGGACCATGGGTTCAAATCCCACTCAAGCCATGGATGTTTGTCCGCGTTTTTCTGTGTTGTGCTGTCCTGTATACAGGAAGACCCACAACTGGTTGTAGAGCCAAGGAACAATAACTAATTATACAAACAATGTAAGCATGGAGAATTAAATGACTCTTTAAGTCCCACCAACTGAAAACATATTCTGAAACCATTTCTGAATAAATGTTTTAAGCAAGTCAAAAACTGCAGGCCATGATTGGCTTTAGAAATCATTTTATAAGAATTATTATACAATAGGGTTATGTTCCCTGTATTTATTAACCTGTGACACAAAGTAACGGGGATTTTAAACCAAAGTTCTACATGGTTCCAGCTAACTTTTGACTTCTTCGTTAACAACATAGCAGTACGCCACAGCAACACAGCCAGCTGGACTATGTAAGCCACGATGCACAGATGATACAGGCTAAATTGCCAAGGTTGAGAATGAGTAGGAGCCATACCTTCTTTCCTCTAAGTGCCAACATTGGCATGCAATGAGATGGTTAAAATAATTTCTTCTAAGACAATATGGGATATACAAAAGCTTTGGAAAAATAAAATTCAACAAATGGCAGTAATACAATGTTGTCATGTAATTGAATATGTACTAAAATATAATATTGTGTTCTCATATTTATGCTTATTTCCATCATTTACCAAGAATTTTGCCGAGAATGCATTCCAGCTTAAGCTAAATCACCAAGGTATTTTCTAAAATGTCACAAAATAATTGTATAGATTTTCAACTAATTTTTATGGTTATGATGATAATTTTATTGGCCTGTACATTACAACAACAAATCATACTCCACGTATAATCAATTCTGTATTGTGTTCATAATAATTAAAAAAAAAAACATGAAAGTTTGTGGCTTCCACAGGAATGGAACTCTCAATGCAACAGTCCTTTAATTATTAATGAGCTGGCCTACCAAAACCTATTTAAGACGCACAGATTAACAATTTTTAATCACTTTTGCTAATTGCAGCTAATAGTTCTGAACCAGATGTGAATATCCCATTGAAATATTGTGTGAATAAACGGCAGATGTATTCATCACGACGAGCAGGAAATAATCCTTCCAGGAACCCAATGTGGCCTCCGTATTGTGTTATCACAATCGCAACATACTTTGACTTACTTGCTTCTTCCACTGGGATTCCTGTAAAGTGCATTATACAAATTAAAATGCACAGTCATATCTTAAAAGTAGCTTTATCAGTACTTACGGCTAATATTTCATTACTACCAGCATTACATGGTGAACTAAGATGTACATATACATGTAATTACTGATTACAAGTACATTAATTAAAATGTATATATAGCACAAAGAGGGATTTATAACAAATTCTCTTTTCACTAGTTACATACAAAAAAATATAATTTAAATATCATTTAAACTGGAAAGATACAATGGTATACTATACAATATGTACCACTTAGAGTACCTGAAACTCGAATCAAACTATAAATTTTCTCAAAAAGACGATCGATCATATAAAAAGTTTGGAACATGATATAAGATATAAATTTTTCCTTTGAAACATTTATCAGTATTTTCAATATTTTAACATATTTCTGATTATGTGGTGTGGGATCTATATTGGCACTATCTTTTCAATACTAGATTTGTATCGTCAATACACGAACACTTGAATGTCACTGTCAATAAGGAATAAAAACAATATACAGTGGATTCATCGGGACAAGAACACTTTTGCCCAATTATGTGAAGTTCCACGTAAAGAGTTAAAAAGGTTTGTCCTTTAAGATGTGTCCCAAATAAACGGCTGCCCTGATTAACTGGAATCTGCTGTATTTTGAAACTGTTTGCTCCATATGAGTACACATTTCCACTCCTATTACTTTAATTACAGATCGAAAAACGTAGACCTGTAGAGCAAATTTACCTTCATACGGCTGGATAGGATCATCTCTTGCACTGAGACAGAGCATAGGAACTTCTATCTTATGCAATTTGTCGTGGATGCTAGCATTAGCATAATAGTCACTGACATCTTTATATCCAAACTGTTTTGCTGTGTATGATGAATCAAACTCACGGACTGTCTTGCACTACACAGGCAAAAAGTACACTACAAGTTTCAAGCGATTCAAGGTGACATTTAGGATGGGGAATGTTTAAATAAGGATTACAGACATGTAAATATTACAGAATTCCACTAAAATGACTGAGCATCCTAGGAAGAAAATTACTTGTTATTAAAGTTTCACATGATGTTCTTTAGATTATAAGGAACTTAGTTATTAAAAGTGTAATAACATGAATGAATCTTAAAAACTGGCATTTAACCCAGAGTTAATCTATTTAATTGTTATTCAAAGATTTTAACATGTCTCAAAATTGTCACCAAGGTTTCTTATAGCTACACTATATTCATTACTCAACAAATTAAATATTTAGGTTTTACTCAAGTTTCACAGCCTTTGACATAGATTTCTAGGTGGGGATATATTCCAGTCAGCCAATAAATTAATAAACTGAACAGAATAATTAATGAATTAAGTTTGAAAAACCACATAATTCATGTAATGAATATCTGGGATACTGGGAACGACCCGTTCTTCAAGTGCCTGAGCACTGCGGGTCCCAACTGCCGTTGGCTTTGATCTATTTAGACATTTGGTAGGACTCCTTGGACGAGGGATCGGCCCGTCGCAAGGCCTCTACCTGTACACAGGACAACACAACACAGAAAGACGCGGACAAACATCCATGGCTCGAGTGGGATTCGAACCCACGGTCCCAGCGACCAAGTGGCACAATGCCCACGCCTCAGACCGCGTGGCCACTGCGGACCTGTGTAACGAATATCACTTCATATAAAAGAGGAATGCAAAGTTCACATATGTGAACATCATTCTAGCTTTCCTGAAATAAATAGCATTAGAACCTAACCACAAAGGTTGTCTGTTAATCATGAATGAAGTAGAGAATAACCTTTTCTAGCAATTCATCATGTTTATACATGGTCCAGCTGGAGATATGTTGCAGTAGCATACTGCTACCATTAACCTTCACAAACAAAAAATTCTATATGGTTAAGAATACAGACCAGAAAAATCAAGCAAGGCTACCTTCAATATATCTTCCATACACCATGGTCCTTGTAGCATATCGTCATGTTTCACCCTAAAACATATTAAAAGATACTATCTTACCAACTGGCCATATTATCCAAAATACATACAAAAGTAAGCAAATTAATTTAAAATTAAGGTGTGTGGAATTACGTGAGAAGCATTCAAACCAGCCAAAAATACTAGTGATAAATAGCCAATAGGCTTTTAAACAATATAATTCCATTGCAATGAAAATGCTTGTACTTTATATAGTAGTTCAATACTTTTCATAAACTGCATATATGCAAATTTATACATATTTATTTTAACACATTTGGTACATTCCTTGCTCATTAATCAAACCCATTACCAATGACTGAATAATGATGATATTTATACTAACTCAAATAATTATTACCTATTAATAAAACTAAAAAATCCAGATGTAAGATATCGGTTTAACATCAAGTTGAGAACTGGCTTCTCAAGACTATCCATAGCTTTAAAAACATTCCAAGGCGTCGATATCACCATAGCAGCCACAAGCGTTTTCTCCGACAAAGTCTGCTGTGATGCCAAGTAGTTGCCCAGTACAAGTCTAGAAACCAAAATACATTAATTAATCCACGCTGAATGACATTAAAAAAAAAAGTCATTACCCACAAAACCAGTTCCATGAAGAACTGTATGGCTAGTGTTAAGGAGGATGACAGGCAACAACGACCTGTTCGATGCAAGCACACAGCGTCTCCAGATACCAACACCCATAAAGCAAAAATGTTTTGTGATCAAATTGTATCCAATGCCTACTTTCTGAGTAAAATTCCCGTAAAGTTAGAAAATGTGACATCATTGCATGACATAAGATAATGTTTTTTTGATTTTTTAAGTGAGCAACTTCAGTTCAAGTCCTGAGCCAAGTGTTTGCTATCTAATAATTTAAAACAAAGTACAGTCAAACTTGGTTATAGCGACACCCTGGGTATAGCATCTAATATTGAATGGTAATAATTAAATTTCCATACAATACATGCTTTTCTGCCTCTCTTACAAAGATATGCGTTGAATAACCAATTTTTTCATAATGACATCTGGCATCCTGTTCTCAGCCCACTTCTTTGCATGGATATGTACTACACCTCTGAATAGCAAAAGGTTTAACGGGAATTGCTCCTACCTTCTGTGTCAATGAACCTTTTTAAACAATACCGAGTGACTTTAAATGCTCTAACTTCTCAATACCCTCAGAAAATGCATGGAAAAAAACAGCAGCATCTGCAAAAAACAGGCTTTAAAAACAGAAAATGGCTGCAGGTGAAGAGAAAAGAAAAGTGTTAAGTGTGGAGGACAAAATTAATGTGATAAAACAGAGTGGGAAGGAGAAAGCTTACGTGTGCCGGGAATTTGGTTTACGTAATTCAAATGATATGGAAAATGTGTTCTAATTACACTTAAAGTGAATTTCAGTGCTATACAAATGATCCTAATTTCTTCTTGAAAACTGATTTAATCTCTTCATCAGTTAGTATGACCCTCATTTATATCAACGTAATTTCTCCAGTCCCTTGGATGACGTTATAACTGAGATTGACTGTAGGTACATGTGAGAATAAAGCAACAAGAAACATAAGGGGAATGTTTAATAGAACAAAAATAAATGCTTGTTTAGCTGTCAAACCTACTGTGCATACAGTATTCAGTGCTATAAGTAATAATACAGTACTGTACTAGGTCATGCTTTAGCTTTAATGATCAACGCAATTCATGCCCCATTTGACAATAATTAATACCATAATATCTCAGTAAATATTTGTTGTAGAATAGTAGTTCCTTTTGAAAATTATTTTGTTTTGATCTTATCTAGTTCTTCTAATTGTTATTATGCGGCACAATTTTGGATGAGATGGCAAGACAGTCGTAAATGACATAAAGCTTAGGATTTGGAAAGAAGCAGATATCTTGAAATCAGCCTTCAGAGACTGAGGAAAATCACACAAAAACTCACCCACGATACTCTGTAACAAAGCCAAGATATACCAGGCATATCCTGAATACAAGGCCAGACAGTTACTGCTATGCCATACCACTGATTAAAGAAGGGAACACAATGTACGTAAAAACCAAATTTTGAATAAAGTGTAACATACCCTCCCATTGAAATACCAACAGCTGCTACAGGTATTCCAGGGTTTAATATTTTCACATGTCTCACAGCTTCTGATAAGTCTTCAAAATTTGCAGCATTGTATGTTCGAGGTGTCTGGAACAAACAACCCAAAAGTGTGACAAAAATGTGTAATTCCACCATCAGCAAAAAACTGACTGAGTGACTCATTGTCAAGCTAGTTAAGAAAGTTGCCATCATAAGTAGCAATGAGACTGGAGTACACATCGCCCTGATGACAGAGGCAGCGTGACCTCTAAAACGTTGGTGGACATCGACCAGACTACACAGCGCAACAACCCAGAAGACAGCAATCTTCAGACTCACTGATGTCAAAACCTCAAATCTTACAAAAATACTGGTGTTTATTATATGCTGTCATACCTGTGATTGTCTGTGCTTCAAACAAAACTGACGAGAGTCAAAAATTACTAATATTTATAATTTAAAGATGCATGAGAAGTATTATCTACCGTGGAATCAAATATGGTATATATGATCTAGATTCTAGTGTAATTTCTTTTGTGAGTGATAACATAACTATCACCCAACTGTAGTGCGAAGGAGAAAACTCAGTCTGTGAACTACTTAAGGTTGTTATATTCCGAGTCCCCTAAATTTAAATTGAGTGAAAAACAAAGTTGGAAGCATTCATTATCATGATAAAAGATTCATACCTAAAAAGCTTTTGTATGTTCGTGTGGGGATTTCATGACTAAATTTTACAGATAAATTCTTAGATGAGGAAACACGAACACGTGTTGCAACTGGAAACTCAATCACAAAAGTACGCTTTGTATGAGTTTGTAGGTTAACTGTTCATGTTCTGGTATTAGATTCCAAACACGTATACAGATGGACATGAAGTGTCAATCAGCAGAACGTAATAGAAAATACGACAAGCAGCATAAATGAAAGGGTCGGTAAAGGTAAAGAAGTCCCTGTGTATAAGCATAATGCCATGAAAGTGTACTGAGGAAGTGCGGTAGATCTCCCACAGGGAAAGACTTCACAGTTTTCTTTGTGCTTCAGAGCTGGTTTTATCGGGATATGGTGGCAAAAAGAAAGTAAGCACAGGTTATGCAACCCAGTCACTTTACTGACTGAAGTATAAATGCTCTTAAAAGGTCTGGAGAATGGAAATAAGCTTAATAAATATAAAAGCCATATTACATTCACATTATGATATGCAGAACACAGGAAGACGGTGACACAGGACAAGAGAAATGGCTTTAGTGGTTCACAAATCGACACAAAAAGAAACTCTTGGAAAGGAATATGTGCTGAGTAAATTATCCTGAATTAATATCTAACTAATGTCATTCTGTTAAAAAGGTTTTCTTTAAAAAATACCTTTAAAGACATCCCACCAAGACCTCTGTAGTTCAAGACAACAATTCGAAGCTTCATGCGATTTGCAGATAATGCAAGGCATCTAATATATTGTGATTGACTGTCTCCTGTCAAACCAGGAAGAATGATGATAATTGGTGCATTGGTTGGACAGCCTTCTTCCAACCAATCCAGTGCCAGCTGTCCACCATCACTCAGCTTCAGGGTCTCCCTAACAACACAGAGTCAGTAAAAATTATGCACTGAACTCAATCATGAAGATCATTGTTTTCATCAAATGTCTAACATTAGACATATCTGCTATTTCTATGTCTTTGCAGCAAAAATGCACCTATTTAGCTTTGCCGCAAATGTCTGTCTCCGTGTCATAACGCAAAAATTTATAAATGGATTTTCAAGCAAACTGATATTACGAAGGTTTAGCAAATTTGTTTTAAACATTCCACTATTAGTTAATATCGGATTTGATAACAGACACTTTACATGAAGATCTATAGTTCGCGACTGTAATCTTGAGACTTGCGGAGTGAGAAGCGGGGTGAAGGAGGAAAGATAGCGTCAACCTTTAATGCTTCGGACTTCCTGCATTCCTTGCAAGTCTCAAGATTACAGTCGTGAACAGTATATGTATTTCTGTATGTGTAAGTGACTGAAATTTGTCCAGTATTGCACATTGGTTTTTACCATTTATAATCACAATCCCTTATTACCATGTGCAGAAAGTCTGCTCAAGTAATCATAAGGATTCAGAACGTTTGAACAATCCGAGCATGTCAAGCCAATCTAACTGGTTCAATGCATTACCTTTAACAACAGTGGCACCTGTTTACTTCCTGAAATGAAAATGCTTTCTATTTTCAGTTTTAATGTATTTATTTCCTTCATCTGTGATCTTACAAAGTAAATTAACCTCTTGAAGCTGGAAATTGTCTAAATAATATTCAATCATTCAGTCCATACCATAAAGAAAATACACTTCACCATTACAACGATTAAGTAGTTAAATATGTTTAAGGAACTAATCGCTATTTACAGTGAGAATCATACAAAACCCATAAATATAAAATTAAAAGTTACTGACTACTAAAGATAAGACATATAGTTTCTGTTGGGATTTAAAGGGTTAATTGTGAACAATTTTCAAGACTGTTTCAAGTGTTGGTGGAACAATGTCCCACTGATATTATAACGCCTTAAATGTTTTAACTTCAAGTAGGAGGTAGCAGAAATACTTGACAGCTTGAAAAACTGTTATGACGATGCTGACATTTAATCTGTGCAAGAACTATAACTATCAAAGGGACCATACACCAACATTGTTAAGATTTGGTTTGGTTTTGATATGATTTTGCCACACAGATTCTACTTGGTAAATCACCACAAACTAGTTTGGTTTGTTCAGTTCATTTTCAACCTGCAAGACGTGCATGCAATGAGAAGTTTGTTTTTTGTTTGTCACATTTTTTCCTGGAATATTCAGGCAGACTGTGGCTGTACAGATATGGAAACCTTTCATTTCTTGTCCATAATTTAATAGTATCAAAAGCCCTATCAGCAATCAAACTTCAAGGATTAAACTCACACTTCCAATGCTGACTGATACCAAACAGAAACCACATAAGTCATATCCCTTCTGGCAGCCATGTGGCACAAACGCAAACCAAATCGATGTCGCAGGTATTGCTTTAGTAACATAGGATTCATATTTTTATGCCAGATTAAACCAAACCAAATCCAAACCACGTTGGTGTGCTGCCCCATTCACTCATCTTTTAGACTTTTCAAAGCCAAAGGCATTAAACATTCCTGAAGTACAAACCAGCACTTACCGCCAGTATTCAACTTTAGGATAAAGTGATCGGAGCACGTTTGCAAAAGCAGTCTGTAGTCTGGATTCAAAGCACCACAACGTTGGCCAATACTTTTCTTGTAGAATTGGTAAATGTAATGATAAGAAATCCTTAAATTTCCCATCTGAGCAGACAAGAATTGGCTGCTGAGAAATGAATAACATTTTCCTGAATAATATCATTTCAGCTTTAAAACAGATTTTTGTTCATTAAGTACACGTCATGCAAAACCTAAACACTGCAGATATTTTGAAGTATTTCAAAACAAATGCTATGGAAAATATTCATATTTCACAAACAAGAATGAACTCAACAAGGAATTCTGTTAATGTACTATCTTTTCGTACCAGAACTTTTAACCAACTCCCTGGAGCACTTTAGAAACTGATGGTCTCTCAAATGGCTGAGATATTCTATGCCGTTTATGGACCCAAAGCTTCACATGAGCATACCACTAGATAGGCCATGGGTGGTAAAATCAAAGAGGTAATCTATGTCAGGTTCAATAAGTAAAAATATACAGAAATGCACAGTGCATTTAAGTGACATACATTATTCTGTATGTAAAGTTAAACTGAAATTCATCTCTGATAAAATTATTTATTTATACCATATTACTTTTTATGTTGTTAGTATGAAGTTTATGTCTTGTCACTGGACTGCAAGACAAAACTAATATAATGGTACGTAAAAAATCTTATAAAATGTGGCAGAGTTAAAATATTTGGGAATAAAATTAACAAATCAAAACAATACCCACAAAGATATTCACGAAAAGCTTGCTACCACACAGTATGACATCATGTCTTCCTGGTTGCTATAAAAAAACATAAATTTTAAAACACAGAACTACAATTTTACTGGTGTGAAAATGGGCCTCATACATAATGGAAGAATACAGATTGATGGTGTCTGAGAACAGGATACTGAGGAGAATATATGGACTTGGAGAGATGAACTGGCAGGATGGATGAAACATTGTAATAATTTTTACTCTTAATCTGATATTATTAAGATGGTCAAATGAAGGCGATCGAAAAACATGTAGCATGTGGGGGGACAGAATAAATGTATTCGAAATTTTGGTTGAAAAGCCTTAAGGAAAAAGACACTTAGAGAAGACCTAAGCATACATAACATGGATATTGATATAATAGTGAGGGAGAGTGTGGACTGGATTTATCTGGTTCAGGATAGGGACTTGTGATTGGCTCATGTGAACTCAGCAATGAACCTTCAGATTTCATAAAGGCAGCAATTGAGTAGCTGAGTGATTATCAGCTCGTCAATCAGTACTTTGCTCCATATAGTTAGACCATTAAGTTAGATTGTGGTCTTCTGCATTATAACACTGTAATCTTGTAAATGGCTGCCATGTTTCAGAAGACTTTATCACATCTACCTTCAGCTATCCACCCCTCCTAAATATTAGTTACCACCAACAAAACTAGACAATGTTATAACCCAGAAGACGACAAATTCTTACAGAAACCTAAAATGTCTCGGGGCATGAAATTAACTCTTTCTGCCATTCCCATCTTCAAGTCTTATCAGTTCTATCACAAATATAACTATCACTAATATACAGAATGACTTGAGGGCTTCATAGATGAAACAATTTTATTTTCTTAAAAATTACGGTCAAACTACACTTTATCTGAATGATGAATACAGAACAGTTTGTTGATATTGTGTTATGTACCATATAGAAGGCATTTAAAGATCTGTAAAACAAGATAAGGGTTATTCACACACACATATGATACTTACTCCACATTTCTGAAAAGTTTTTAGGTGAAAGGAATTATAAACAAATTCTGGGCAGAGATCATAACAATCCTATTTCATTAGGAATAATATTGATTACCTAAAGACTTTTTAATTTATATTCCAGTCCAACTTGGCGTAGGGATGTAGCGACCCCATCGCCCAGTGGGATACCACTGCAATCAGCCACCCGAGTTTTGGCGGGAAAACCAGAACTACAGAGGTGGTAGGAAATGACCAACCTCAGCCTCAACACAGAGGACGGCCAGCCAGGTGGCTTAGGAGGCAGCCCCTCCAAACATGGCAACCAGTCGTTGGGCCAATCACCCACATTTGGTTTTTAATATGATTCAGAGAAACAAAGATTGTTCGGCCGGACAGCTTCCATTAAAGGAGGAGGTGGACCGAGCAATCAACCCTGACGCTATAAAGGCAAAAATGGAGATGAGAAAGAAGAAGAATAATTCCAGTTCAACAAATCTTATGTTAATACCAAGAAAATGCAATGTACGAGAACTGAATACGGTTAGAATAAGTACATTTTTATTGCTTACAATTTTCAAGCTATGTTACACACAAAGTAACATGATGATGACTGTCGTCATTCAATTCGCTGGAGGAAGAATGTATTATGCTTATTTTTTTTAATCCTGCAATCAATATTGAAAAACGCATCTGGCAGACTGATTAAAAGCCAGGCTAGGGAATTAATATCGTCAGTTGCACAATCATCAAAACAATCTTCAGTAAGTTATAATCAAATCCAGTTCCATACCAGAAATTCCAATCAGCAATACAATATTTAAAATTAAATTTAAAAAATTATAATTTGGATTACAATGTCTCTCGGTCAACTAGTGAAGTTACAGGTGTGCCCATCTTGTCTATAAAGGAATCCTGGAAGAAGCAAGACAGACTCTCATGAAGATCCTACATTTTTATTGTCTCAAAAGAAGCAAGATCCACAAAAGAAATTTGTATAATTTGACAGCCTTCAACAAAATACAGTAAGATTTGGAAAAAAAAGTATAATGCATCAAGTGTTTCTCCAAAAGAAAATAACAAAAATGATGTTCAAGCGGAAGAAATTTCAGTTGAATAGATAATTTATAGTGGAAAAGCTGGATATAATTGCATGAAAAGGTAGGTATTGCAGGCTTTGAAGAAATCTGAAAGTGAAGACAAACAAATTGTTGCATCATGCTGGAAGGTTAAGAAAGAGGTGGCACCATGTCCTTGGTATTGAAAGGGCTTTATTAATTTAAAATTTAAGATAAAAACTATGAATTACCAAGGCAAAATTAATTTTGATAACTTTTTGAGATGTATTCAGGAGCAACAATATGAAAAATTGTTTGTAAATTCTGTAGTTGTTTTCTGATAATGTGGCATACCATCATGTTCAAAGGAATAAAGGACTCCTGGTATGGTACTCTAAAAATGTATATTGTAGCATGGCTAAAAAGGGGCATTAATTCTTCATCTACAATTAAAATGTTTCAATTCATTAAACTGATATAATCAGTGTGGAAAAAAATCTATACTTAGTGTATAACACAATTAAACAGAAGACATGACATATTTCACCTTCCTCCTTACCATCCTGATTGAAACACTCAAGGCCGCCCTGCAGGTCCCTGGGTCCTTGGAGAGAACTGATATCTTTAATTTGGGTATTACCCTCAGACCTAGGCCTTTTAGGCATCCTGGTCAGGGCCTCCCCAGACTTGGTTAGTGCCCCATACCCTAATTTCTATGAGCCCCCAGTAGTACAGAGCCTCATATGGGTATAAGGTACTGATGCAATGGGTTGTTGCTTCGTGCCCCAAAGGAATGACTAATGACATTGCTATCACCACCCCAGTGCCATGCAGCCCCTAGCACAATACCACACATCTTGGTTTTGGTGGACCAGTGATATATAAAAAGTATGTAATAGTGTACAAATAGCGTGTACATTGTGTTTGTTTGTAAATAAAAAAATACAGTACAGCAGTATAATATATTTTAGTACGGTATATTAAAATGCACGCCAAATTAATTATTTAATACTTTTTACTTAAAAATCAATCGTAACATAGTCAAATAAGTATGTATACTATTAAATGGCGATAGTTTATGAATACTGTACGTACCGTAGAGTACGTCCAGTACTTGTACCGATTTTTCTGATGCAATCCCGTAATAACGCGGGTCTACCCCTGTCCCCCGCGACCCGCGTTATAGAGGGGTTGTACTGTACTGAATTTCCAGTAGCTTATCACTATACTAACATCTCACCTTCACTACCTGGAGTAGATAATAAGTGAAAAATCCAGTTCCTATGATTGCACTGACATACCATTCGGATAAATTAAATAAAAAGTCCAACGGCGATGTAATCCAATTCATATTACAGATTTCACACCAAGCTGTCACTCGCTAACACTTTTCTATGTACTACGACCTCAAAGCCCCTTCACCTCCAAACTCTCAAAACAAAACTCAAATTCTAATTCTTAAGCAGTTCTTAGATATTGCGTGGACGATATCGTCTTGTATCCACAGCCATTCATGTCTAGTAGACCGGATCGCTATCTGTATATTTACGTAACCGACGTACAACTCAAGACAGCTTTCGTTCGAAACACGGACCTATTGCATGATAGGCATCTCAGATTGGTGTGAATTTCATACAAGGTTCAGATTCTAATTAGTACTTTGAACCCTTTGTTATATAGGGAGCCATCTAGCAGCACTGGATTACAGTTACTTGAACAAAGTACACATTAATCACGAAAGATGTCGCTACTTGTGACGGGGGGGGGGGGGGGGGGAGGAGACGGAGAAGAAGATGAGGAGGAAGTGAAATTATTGACAATATGCATATCCTGAACTTAAGAATTGTTTAACTGGCTGATTTCTGAGGGGAGGAAAGTAGATCAGAAAAATCAATTCAGGGCTCTTTATAGCTGCAATTGCATTTCTTAAGTTTTTGTTTTGTTTGCTTTTTTATCTCCATGTATATGTCCATCTTCTTCTTTATTATGCCGTTTCATTTACAGGAGGTTGGCGACATATGAACAGGTTCCTTACATCCTTTTCTCAGACTGGGACCTGTTCATATATGTTTTTTAGGCAGGTGATACAGAAGTGGTTTGCCATTGCCTTCTTCTCTGTGTATGAAGTAATTGTTGGGATGCCACGGAGAGATCGTGGAAGCCCCAGAGGAAAACTCCGTGCTGCCTAGACCACGGCCTCGCCCAACACAAGTTATAAATTCGGGCACCGGCGGGAATCGAACCCGGGATCCCAGGATTACAAGGCCAGCATCATTATGTCCATAAAGGGCACAAAATTATTATGTGGAAATCATGTCTGCCTATCTAAATTTTCAAGTCCTGACAGTTGATGAATTTAAATTTAGTAAAGATTTAACTTGAAAGTGTAATGAGAATTCATTTTAGAATCCAGTTTGGTTCACAGGAACCATACTATACATTACATAAAAATCAAACTGAAAAAAATATGTAATATTTAAGAATGTCACTTTTTTACAATTTAATAATAGCATGATGCATATTGTACTTGAGAATTTTGTAATGTATAACTTTGGCTTTCGGGTGTGAGAGCCACATCAAATGTTGAGTATGAACCATCATTTTAACAAATGTTACAGCTGATAGACTACAGATTTATTTAAAGGCTCTGTATCAATTATGGAGGGTGTAAAATGGTGAAAGTGGAATCAGTCGTGATTTACACATATATCAGACTACCATCCTGACTTGTTTAACTGCATATGTAAATCAGTTTTTATAAGTGATATTCCTTATACATCATTTTATTCATTCTAAATAAATATCAGGGGGTCTGAGGCGTGGGCATTGTGACGCTTGGTCACTGGGACCGTGGGTTCGAATCCCACTCAAGCCACAAGTAATGTACCGTTAAGTTAATTATTAAGGAAGATTGTCACTGGACATGTATTCCGCACATCATTAGACAATGTCAGAAGATTTACTGAAAGTCCATGTAGGACAGATTGTAAATAATCAGGGATGATAAAAAAATAAATATCAGCTGCAACTTGTCCTGGGTAGATTGTTGAGTAGCAATCATGATAATGAACAATTGTACTGTGAAAAAACAAAAAACAAAAAACAATGAATACATTTTATTACTAGTCATCTCATAACCATTACCTAAAATATACCATTCCCACATCTCAATCTGGTATAACCATTACCAAAAATTTACACATTATGGTAATTTAATTAACAATCAATTTCTAAAGTCTGTGTTACAAAGCATATATCCTGGTTGAAAGGGCAAAGCTGCCAAAATAATAAAACCTAATTATCTCACAAAGTATGTATATCACAACTTTCAGAATGTCTGCCTTTTATGTAATCTTAACACTTCCTTCCCTGAACTGTATTTACAAAATGATAAATTAAGATCTTTGAGACTTGATAACTTATAAATTATTGTAATTATAACAGCTTCTTCAAATCTGGCTCATATTGATACAAATAAATGGCACATCCCGACAAATCTTACTGAGCTTTAGTTGGCAATGATATATCCCTTCAAACATGCCTGGAAAAGAAAATTTCAGCATATGTTCTAAGCAACATCTGTAACTCTGTTTATGTATTCATTTCTATTCAGAACAGTGAAAATACACAACTCCACACTCAATTATTTTCAGTTTGCACATTTAGCAACTGCATCCAGCATGTGCTATACAAACATTTAGTTTTCACACAATCTATTTTAATTCATAAAACAGCAAAATTTGTCACTCTGGGAAATTATGTTACATCTCGCATTATAGTCAGCACAGAATTGTCCCAAATAATGATGGATACAGACACAGTTCTTTTATAACTAAGTGTGTTTATAAATTAATACAAAAGCAACATCAAACACATACAAGAGTGTTGAATTACAATACTGTTCTTTCTGTGGTAATAAAATATTTAAAAACAAATACATTAGGAAAATTGTTGCTGTTGATCTTTTGGGTTGTAACACAATGCAGATTCAAAGCTAGATAGCAACGTTTTGGAGAAATATACATCTCCTTCTAAAGTCCTGAAGATGGAGACAGTATGTTTATCAGAAACAGTGGTATCTACCTACAAGTTCACATGGTGTTAAAGCCCAGAAGATCAGTACTTACATCTTAACCAATGAGAACCTAAAATCTCATACAAGGAAAGCTGTATTAATTTTTTAATTAAATGCCACTGGAAATCCAGATATGAAAACTGATAAATTCAACATTACAAACGAACTGTTGACATAATATGAACTTTCCAAACTAATATCTCAAATATCTTTATAAAAATATAAAGAACAGTGAACACTTCCTGAAGGAAAAATAACAATAAATCCATAAAATACAAGAGCAAGTAATTAAATTTCAATTTAAGCGTCTATATAAAGCAAACTATATATAAGGAAAGCATTTTAAAATAGGAAAAACAATCGCTAACAAAATATAATTAAGGGATAATTACAGTAACATCCAGCAATAATAATACCATAAATGCAAATCAGGCTTACAAACTTGTCTCTTTGTTTTGCACTGGAATGTCCATATTCATGGCTATGACAGCTGAGCAGTACGAAAGGTTTTATATTCTCACAGATCGAAAGATCTGTCACAAGTCTTTTCTTTATAAAACTGACATAATGGCATTACGACTGAAAAAGATTTGTCAATTCAACTGAAACACGGATGAAAATATGCATGTTAGTAAACACAGAAGAAAGTTAGGAAAATATGGTCCTTCAGTGAGGTGTCTGAAGCTTCAAAGAAATAAAAATGAATCAGCAAAAATGGTATTTCGATATTTTGATGCAGTGGTGGTGGTGGAATAATGCTCCAGCTGTTTACAGTTTGTTGAGACTATAACTGGTTTTAATAAAATATAAAATAAAGAATTGAACTGAGTGTCCTATTTATTTATTTATGATGTATTTAATAATACTATCAGTTCAACTTATATAGCATGTAATGACTGAATCATTTAATATTTACTACTAATATTAATGCACTTCATCATTTCTATATGTTTAGAAGGAATGTAGTTCCCTGATGAATAGATATACTGGCAGGTAAAGTATAAGAGAAATTCTTCTGTTGTAACTGGACTTCTTATGTTTGAAAAACAGAATAGGCTTTTCTTTTTCAAAAGTAAAAGTCAGCATCTTAGTGTATACAGAACAGACACACAGCAGAGATTATTAAAAATCAAGGTCTTAAATCTGAATAGAAACCTAGTTATTAATACTTTTACTGTCATTTGTAGTTCTTCCAAACTAATTCCAATGTCAATATATTTACTGATATCAGAAATCAATAAAACATGATAGATTCAATTAAGCACAGCTAATACCAAGTGCATTACTAGTGTACCTCTAATGTGACTTTTCACTACTTATAATAAAACCAGAATCTTAAAAGCATAGAAGTTGAACTGTTAAAATGTCAAGTGAAAACATAGCTTGAAAAAATGCAGATGTGATCCATGTCCAATTCATTCTTCATTCTGACAAGTAACTAATCTATAACATGATAAAAATGCTTCCAAAAATGTAATAAGTTGTGTACTATGAATACTGAGGGCAATGTATGAGATAAGTTGACAGAAGTTAAGAATCAAATGACTCTAATGTGATTTTTTTTGGAAGTGGTTTTTGCAAGAGCTGGTTAGCTCAGTCAATAGTGACTCACTATGGGCTGGATGATCAGGGTTCGATATCTGACAGGGGCAGAGGATTATTTTCTAGCTTCTGCATCCACACTGGCTCTGATGCCCACCCAGCCTCCTGTCCATTGGGTACCAGGGATCCTTTGTTCAGGGGTAAAACATGGCCGGGGCATGACGCTGACCAGTCAACCCCATCTAGTGCCAAGTTTTAGAATGAGGAGCTACAAACTCTATATGGTGCATAGCGGGATAGCTTTATTTTTTTTAAGTGGTTTTTGTAAATCATTTAAAATTAGTTGAATAATATTGCAAAGAAACCTGTTAGTGTAATATAATTCTGAAAATAAATAGAAATTGTAATAGTTCCACATGCAAGCAACAAGCACATAATTTAAATTTCAGCAAACATATATATACAGAGAAATAAATGACACGCAAATGAACCATGCACAGTGTTTAATGGCTATGAATTTTTATATTAAAAGGGTCATATGAGAAGTTTCTTCATGTTGCATTTCTGTTATATAACGTAACATACAAGGTAATGATGCTGGCAGCGTCTGAATTATCTCACAGACACAAGACTCAATTAATCAATTACCAGTTATATGTTCTGCTATGACTATGGAGGTATAATGTCCCCAGTATCTAATATTAAGTATTATGATAATTTATGTCACCAACATGGCAGAACATTCTTGCTAGTATGGAATTAATATACAATGATCTCTACACTCTAATATTACACAAATAAGAATAGCAACTTACTGTTGTGGACATACTTGTGAACAGACTATAGATACTAACAAAGTAAGAGAAGTATATTTTGGTAACAGTCATGTCTGATAAGAGAAACATATAACATGAACAGAATAACAACAAATTCTTGCAACAATATAAGAATCTCTTCTGTGTTAATCACCTTTTATCTTAAATAGATCTATATCTAGGATAAATATTTATCCCTGATGTTCACCTAAAATATGAAAGACTATTAAAATTGGCTGTGTCCATATCAAGAGACACTACCAAAATTGTTCAATCTACTACATCTAGGTTCTATTAATTATATGATATGTCTACTTTTTTTAATCTGCGTAAAACAGAGAGAGTAAATATAACTATATAAATGCTGGATTAGAAGGTCAAGTACTCATATATCCAATGCCTACATCCATACAGCATATACAGAACAAAAACCATATCTGCAAGGAAAAGCAACTATTCTTTATTCTCACTTTTCTCATCATAAAACAAAAAAAAATCTAGAAACTTAAAATAATGTATAAATTACATATCACACTTTAGAAAATTAACACAATATATGGCTTAAATGAACTACAACTTCATGCCTTACAAAAGAAATGTAATGCTACCTGACTACACCAATTTTAATGAAGAAAGTATGTGAACTAATTTGAAGTATCATTGTAGGAGAAGGAACAGTTCAGGTGGTGAACAGTAAATGACCAGTGCTTCATCTACTGTCTTGTATCTGGTTGTGCAGTGCAGTAATTCTTCTTTGAGTACATTATACAGTGTATTTTTATTCTATCCTGACAATGCCTTCAAATTCAGAAACAAAATTCAGGCTTACTTTTTACCTTGAGGGTCATGGTATTATAAACAAAGCTACAGTTCTTCAATAAAGAAAAGTCAAATGGAAATATAAAATGAAATAAAAATTTTGGCTGAGAAGATGATGATGCAGACATTGGTGTTGTGGATACAGAATAAATGCAGTTGTTTCATTATGGTGAAGCGTGCATTTTTAGTTTTGCATTTCCCTCACCCGATAAAAATCAGTGTAGCCAGGTAGTACATCTCAATATGATTTGTTCTTCAATATGTATAAATAATTAAATGCTCAATATATTAATACTGAATCTAATACATCATTCACTGGGTATCTATATAATTGCATAGATCTATTAATTTTAATAATTAGAAGTTTTATTAAGCAAGTATGTATTGTTCCATTCCTGGAATTACATGCTTTTTATAACTATAGTGACTAGCATTCTTTGTTAAACTAGGCTGTAACTTGACCTCTATTCCAGCCCTACATTAACAGAATGATGTATATACAAAAATGACAGTGTATAAAATAGCATGATTTAGTTTTTAACAGCAATATTTTATCTATAAATTTCTGGTAAATTCCTCTAAAAGCAAAACAGCAAAAGTTAAAAATATTGGACTAGTGTGGTTATATTACAAACCTTAACGCAGCAGACAACTGACATCTGACACATGTCCAGAATAAATAATGCAGAGGTTAACTATCTGGCATTCTACTCTAAAGAAAGTTTCTAAATCTACAAGTGATGTTAGTGCCAACGGTTCCATATTTACATTCATGGTTATAATCACCTTACTTCATCTGAATAGAAGCCTGATTCTGCTATCATCAT